TATAGAGCATACGTTTGGGAGTATCTACAAAAAATTTAAAAACTCTCTTGAATAGATAAAAGCCTTAGGTATCAGGAAACACCTACATTTTCAAAATTATAAGTCCGAGAAAAACGCAATTAAAGTATGTAATGGCATAAAACAAAAACTTACAATACCTGTAAAGTTCTGATTTCTTAATGTATTATTTTTCAAGTTATGTTCTATAGCAAAACACTACTTCAATTAATTATGATTGAAAACATTTTTTTAATTTAAAATATATTTTTGAATAAGATTGACAGTGTTTGTTGTAACGACTGGTTATTCAGACTAATCTTAACAAAAAAAAATTTCGCAAAAGTCTTGAAACATGAAGTATGTATATACAAAATAATAATGGCACTAACTTAAGATAAAAATCCCAGGTTTGTACAAAAAATTTAAATTTTTTAGGTTTAAATTGGGGAAGTTTATTTAGTTTTAAGTCGCCTAACAAGAACTCAAATACCATAATATAGTAGTACTATATGTTTACTATAAGGTAGTTTGGCACATCTTGGAAATATTCAGTTTTATTTGCAATATTTGTAGTCAGAATTCTTTATCTGGAAGTCTTATTGCAGTGTCAGTGAAGGGCTGAGTTTTCGAAAAATCGTTTTCAATAGTATTTCATCTCTTTCAAATATTGTTTCTCATAGCAACCTGAAAATGTTTGCCATGACATTTCCTCAAATGGAAAAAAATTGATGATAATGCTTCTAAATTATATAAACTATTTTTTAAAAGAAAAGTTGTCCTTGAAGTCAATCTGAATTAAATGACTATGAGAACTCAAAACATAATTAAGCAGAAATTATTTTAGGAACAAAAATGGAAACTAATAACCATTTCACACAGAAAGAGTTGATTGTGGTCAAAAATATTTTTAATTAATTCAATTTAAGAGAAGAAAAATTCTTTAAAATGATACCAAAACCAAGACCTAAGCTCAGAAAACTTCAAATATCTTAAAAACTAATTTGTTAGCACATCTGACACTTGATGGTAAGTTTCGTAATAACATGTGCCACAAGAAAATGTGAACAAAAATCGTTCTTTTCAAAATTTTAGGGTACTGTGAAGCCTTAAAAATAGTATTTCTAAATCTTTTTAAGAATTTATTTGTTGTAAAACTCAATTGATACTCTTGTCTCACAATGGAATTCATTTCTCATTTCATTTTCTATGAATTAATGTTAAACTTGCCGTATAGTTAGCATTAATAATTTTTGTTCATCCCATTTTTATGTATATCAAATAAAAAAATTTTAATTGTTTTTTATTTTGGGGTCGTTTTAATATTATGAATTGTAACCAGAAATATAAAGAAAACGTTCTGGCTTAAAATAAATTTTATATTCCAAAAATAGTACGTTTCCATTTATTAAATTCTAATTCAAAATTCTGAAGGGGGGATGCCTGAGGCATAAATGCTATTTTGGACTACATTTTCTGAAATTGGCAAGCATTTGAACACTACGTTAAAGAAAATTGAAAATTCTACACTTTGGAAATCTGTGATGAAAAATCGAAAGAATATTCACATGTTGGTTGCTATTTTTATTTTTTTTTAAAAAAGGGGCTATTTTCAAATGTGTGTTTATGTTTAGAATATTGAATTTGAAATATGTTTTCTCACATCTATTTGGATCTCAAAGATCTCACGCAGCATTTTTGCATTCTTTCTAAAAATTCTATTTTTAGTTATCTGATTTATTTCTCATTCAAAAAATAATAGTTAAACCCGAATTTTTACGTCAGATTTTTTCTCATCAATTATATTATTAGTTCTTCATGAAAGCAATTCCAAGATATATTTCTTGTTTATCGCATAGATTTCGAGGTATTTATGTATCATTGTAATTTTTTGTAATAATTAAAGATGAACTGATTCAATTGGCCAATCAATAATAATTCTTACACAACAAACTTAAAAATCTATTTATAATGTACTTTAAATTGCAAATATTTTAAACTAACTTCTTTTTAAAATATATAATTTGTATCTTAAAGAAGAGAGTAGAAACTTTACTTTGAAGTAATTGGATAAAAAATATTACAAATATTCTGATACATTTTCAAAAAGCATTTTTAATTATTTCACTGTCATGAGCTAAATTCATGTATCGTCATAGTCACATGATAACTAAAATTGCGTGTTTCCAACTAATCAGTTCGTTAATGTGACGTCATAGTCACGTGATAAATAATCATGTGCTTCCAGCTAATCAGGTCATGTACTTCACTGTTGCCAATTTTTGCCCTTTGCAAAAACTTTCTTTTAAAATTTCATATTTGTCAGCAATAATGACCCACTTAGGTAATCAAAATATACTTGATTTAAAAATACATGGAAAAATAAGATTTTTTTATTTTAAAATCTTTTTGCGGTGAAATGTTTTTTCACACATACCTGAACATTTTTCCCAAATTATAAAATATGAAATTGTATCTGAATTTTAAAAATAAAACAAGTACATGCCAGTTTAATGTCAGTTTCGAAATCAATGGAGAATATGTTATTGTCTTTATCACGTGATCGTCAGAAATTAAGCCTATTGAGGAATTAATCTGATTTTTGAAACAAATATTAATTTGTGATTTTATTCGGAAATTGAATTTAAAATGCTCGATATATAATCGTTTGGCGTGAAATTACTGTCATAAAAATACGTTTTTTAAGCTACAACGTATGGAAAAATTAAGGACGAAACTAAACAATTAGCCCTCCAGCGAAACAAACAGACAGGACGGCCCGAGGACAAATCAGAAGACCGGCTACAGTGCAGTAAAGCTTTCTGTGCAAATTAATGGGTAAATATGGGGAAAGCTATAAAGCACGTTAGCGACGTACAATCAGCATTTCCATGAAAGCTATTGCACACTGCGCATAATTTTAACGACGTCGAGTTGTTGGTTCAGTGTGTCTTGTCTAATAGGCAACCTTGTAGACGACATTTGGATGACCTTACCCAAGGTCAAATCACACGGAGGAGGAAGGAAAGTCGAAGTGTGACTAATTTGCCGTAGAGAAACTGGATTACTGATGGTATTGTTTAACCAACTGAAGATCCTTCCAAACTATAAGAACAAATGTCTGAGAGTTAAGTGTAGCTGTGATAACCTAGTAGTTATGGTCATGAACTCGTGGTCGGGACATTGCTAGTTTGAGACTTGGTGCTGCTGAAGACCCTCCATGTAAAAGGGGCTGATGCAGGTTAAATCTTTCGAGGTTCAAAACCTCCCATTGGCGTGGTATGGTTGTTGGGAGATGGGATTTCGGTTAAAGTTTCGTGTTTCGTCTCTTGACCATGGTTCAGAATTATGAGGTCAACCAATAGTCCAATATATTAATCAATAGCCCTCGTGTTGCTGCACAGAGCGGTGTAAGCTAAAACCAAATGAAATCAAATTAAAGCTCAGTGCATTGCTCTGAAGTCACGAGCTCGTGGCCAGCGTGCCGTGAGTTCGAGCCCTAGTGCCACTGAGGGACAGTAAATCTGTCGTGACTTAAGGTATCCGACTACCCTAAAAACATGATTTTTTTTTTCAAAAATTGACGAATTTTGTTTATGATTTTAGTTTATAGGTCTTCTTATTAGTTTTATAAAAGTACCAAGTTTTTTATTTTCCATTCACTGGAACAAAAACTACGAGTGTTTTAGTAAAAGTAAATGCCATAACTTTACACAAGATGTCAAACTTTAAAATGCGTTTTACTCGAAATGTGTTTTATTCGAAAAGCTCAAACGGGTACAGTGATTGCTCAAAATGTTTTGATAATTTGCTGAAATTTTTTGTGTATGTTCTGTATAACTGTAGAAGTGTTTTGCCCTTCAAATGTATCACTTACTGTTTTATTTCAAAATTTACAGTCTTTTATGTGAATATAATCACTGTTTTTTAAGCAATTTCATATAATGATTAAGATAAAGTGCTCTAGTTTTTGTAAAAATTAAAATATTTCTTATCCTGAAGGTCATTTCCAAAATGAATAACAAAGTAACACATCAAAATTGAAAAATTGAGAATTTGTTCATAAAATTTTTGTACAGAACGGGCCCCGTTTATGTGATTTTTTGTACATTTTCACCAGTTTTTTTCCCATTTTAATAATAATAATATTTTTTTTCAGTCTTAGAATTTTTTCCTTAAAATATACTAAATAAACCTAAAAATCACAAAAAAAATCCCCATATCTCCATTTTTTCAAAAAAAAGTCGTCGCAAGTAGTCCGATACCTTAAAACTTTCACGCTGGTATGCTATGGTAATTTGAAGGAGAGGTGTCTTCCTCGTCACTTGACCGAGTTTCAAACTTAAGAATTTCGTCGCCAATAGCCCTCGTGTTTCTTTGTAGTGTGATTTCGATATAACACTCGCTCACTCACTAAAAGTTTTTCTGGGGGCAGTCCACGAGCAACCTCGGTGGATAATCGGTGTATTTCCCTACAGTCGACAAGGGAATGACAGTAGAGCCATTCGTAACATTTTTTTAAAAAATTCTTCTGATTTTGTAAATTATTATTTCTTGACAATTTTGATAGTGCAGATTCGTTCTCAATTCATATTTTTTAGCTTACAACGATCAAGTACTCTAATTTTGAATCCGAAGCCTTAAAATATTTATATTATTACATAAAACTAAGAGGTTTTCACTTTTGATAAGATCAGATAAAAAGGTATATAATTTGAAAGAAAAAAAAATTAAGTCAATTCCTACTTAGGTCAACAAAGAAGAATTTTATTTTAGTTACTATTTATTAAAAAGTTACAATTAATATAAATGTGTATGGACATATGACAGATTCACAACATTAAGTGACAAAGTAAAAAGCAATTTTCCTTGCAATTTTTTCCATTTTCCTTTCTATATACGGTGTCGAATTATTTTTTTTGTTATTATTTATTCATAAAACAGATAAATTATTCTAATAAAGTAGTATAGTAAAAGAGAAATCACATCCTCAGAAATTGGATCATCCCAGGTGGGATTCGACCCACCTTTGCATTTGAAGTCCAACACGCTATCCATTGCGCTACAGGGACACAAAGAACGATTTTCTTTTTTATATATGGTGTTGTACTATTATTTTTGTTTGTAACTATTTATTCATTTTTTAATTTAATGAATGAATTAATGTTAGAGAGAGAGAGAAAAAACTGTATTAATATGAAGTGTCAACCACTACAAGTTTAAGAAAATGTATTTGAACTTTAATGAACGAATAGAAAGTATTCCATAAATTATTGAAAGATATATATATATATATATATATATATATATTTATATTTATATATATAAAATCCATAAATATATACAAATAGCTATAAAACCTAAGTATAACTAGTCAAGATAGTATGAAATATAAGCGTCAGTAGTGCAATAACAAATTCCTGGCGTTAGGAACCAAGATTGCAGGTTTAAACAAAGTTTTAAGGCTAGCCAACCTTCACCTGAAACTTGCCTATACCACTAAGTCAAAGGGAAAGGAAGGAATAATATTAGGAAAAATTTATGTATCTATAGATATGTTTAAATAAATATATATAAATATATGTAGGAAGAGAGCGAACTACTAGTAGGAATTGAAAAATAGCATCAGTTTTAATTTCAACTAAACCTAAAACTTTCTCGAATTCTTGTAGTCCTAAAAATAAAGTATAGTCATACATCATAAAATCTACTTTACATGAATAGAAATTGAGAAAATATGCAAGCGGTATCAGTCTTAGGAATCTTAGACAATATTTTAACTCATATAAGTGTCCTGACAGGAATTAAAGTGATGGAGTAATTCCAACGCGAAAGAATATTCTTAACACTAAAAAAAATACCTGAAAAACTTTTTCTAGTACAGAATTAGAAAAATGTACTAAGCAAATTGTAGAAAAACAGATAAAAAAGTTTTAATCATTAATTAGTTAAGTAAAATGTTAATATACAAGTAGAGAATTTAGTTCCCGTGTTTTAATGAATTGAATATTTATCAGAGTCTCTAGCAAAAAATATTTACTTTTTATCATTCTTTTATTTCGTTAAGGTAACGCTTACATTATGTAGATAAAGAAAAAGCTTTTATATAAATGTGTGAAAAAGAAAAAGCATTATTTATTTAAGAAATACATTAATACGTGTTTAAAACGTCATTGATGAAGATCTTAAACTGCATTTTAATGCATTTGCAAATAAAAGAGAAAATCCTTCTCGATGTAGAAAAAACCCAAAGAGATCTCTGTAACACACAAAATTTCCGTCGTTAGTCATTAAATTTTTAATGTAAACTTTATAGATACAGTTTTGAAAAGAATACTTTCATTCCAAATTCTGACACTATTCCATATGGATATATATGAAAGAAATTTGTATTTTATATCAAAATCAAGAAATAATAGATAATGAACATAACAAGAAATAGCGTAATACAAATATAAAAGCTAAACATGAAGATCAAAATTATAGAAAAATAAAAAAAGAAACTACAAAAAAGAAGAACCTAGCGAGTCAGAAAGCAATTTCGAACTTAGGACCGAATAAGTGGGGTTAAACTAGTTTGAAGGCGCCAACCTTCCCCCTTTGCAACTCGGTAGGAAAAACCAAATAAAATAAAATAAACAAAAATTCAGAGTATGTCAAAACTCAGAGAGTATGATAAAACCACTCACTACTATTATGTAACAAACTCTCCCAAACTCTTAATGCAGAAAAATCGCAAAACCATTACGTAAGAAAAGTAGAAAAATCCTAAGACAATTACATAAGAAAAGTATTTTTCAAAAAATAATTTAACAAAATTTCTTTACTCACAGAGCTTTTACCAAGAGAATCAAGCGTCTTGACATCAATGAAAATCAATTATTCACCAAGTTAAAAAATTCGAATATGCATAAACACATCTTTTGAACTAACTTTTAAACCAGCCAGCAAAGACAGATATCAAAAGAGACGACAGTCAAATATGGTAGAATTTGAATTGGTTGATTGTCAAAAATGTAAATTTGCTAGGCTCTAATTTGGTTGGTTGTCAACAATGTGTAAGATGTTCAACATGTGTGTGAAAAAAATGTAAACTGTGATATGAGTGTTATGATATAATCTTCACAGCAAGATCACTAACATGCTGACTTTGAAATCCTATTGTTGTGTGGTGGTTTTGGAATTAGAAGTAGCAAGACGGTTAATGTATTTGTGATGAATATAAGTTCTTAAGAAATTAAAAGGGTATTCATGATCTAAACAACATTGAAAAAAATTTATATTATTGTATTTATCTATTTTGTGGGTAGTTAAGTTATCATTTCTAAATAAAAAATTCAAAATGATATTTCTGTAAATTGATATATGCAAGTTACTATTCCATACAGGAATTTTTTAATTATATGGAACTTAAGAGAAGTTATATATATATATATATATATATATATATATATATATATATATATATATATATATATATATATATATATATATATATATATATAATGGGCACAGTAGGTCTTGGCCATACTGTATATATATTCATTATATATATATACGCAAAAGAATTTCTATACATGTACGTTCATTTTGCTTTCAAGTGCACTGCATAATTTAGCAATTCATATTTTTTTATCTGGATAAAAATGTATGTAGACATACTATTTTTCATTTAAAAAAAGATAAAACACTCATAATTCATTTGTTTTCATTCCATAAGCAGAGCCTTGTTTATAAAAATAATTTCCCGAATAAACAGAAATTAACTTAATCTATATATATAAAGGAGAAAAGCGACTCACTTACTCACTGACTGACTGACTCACTGACTAATCACGATATCTCCGGAACTATTAAACATACAGACTTGAAATTTGGTAGGTTGGTTCTCTTCGTGGAGTAGACGTCAGCTAAGAACGGATTTTGCAAAGTTCGAACCCCAAGGGGCGTTACGAGGGTTTAAGGGGCGTTATAGATAATTATTTCTATTACTAAACTATTAGATGTACAGTCGTGAAATTTGGTACACAAATTTCTTTGATAAAGTAGAGATTCCCTACATAATGATTCTTACGAATATCGACCTCCAAGTGGCGTTGAGGGCGCTTAAGGGGTGTTATACATAATTATTTCCATTTTTAACCTATTAGACGTACAGTTTTGAAATTTGATATGCGGACTCCTTTCATAGTGTACAAATCCCCTACAGAATGGGTTTTGTTAAAATCGACCCCCAAGTGGCGTTGTGGAGTGTGTTTTTTAAACTATTAGACGTAAAATCTTGAAATTGAGTAAGCAGATTCCATTCACTGAGTAGAGATCTGTCATAAGATCGGTTTTGTGGAAATCGCTTAATAAGTGGCGTTGCGGGTGCTTAAGGGTCGTTATAGGTAATTATTTCCATTTTTAAACTATTAGACGTACAGTCTTGAAAAATTTGGTAAGCGGATTCCTTTCATAGAGTACAGATCCGCTGCAAAATGGGTTTTGTTAAAATCGACCCTAAGTGGCGTTGTGGAGAATTAAGGGGCATTATATAGGCAATTAACTCCTTTTTTAAACTATTAGACATAAAATCTTAAAATTGAGTATTCAGATTCCATTTACTGAGTAGAGATCTGTCATAAGATGGGCTTTGTGAAAATCGTTTCCTAAGTGGCGTTGCGGGGGCTTAAGGGGCGTTATAGATAATTGTTTCCATTTTTAAACTATTAGACGTACAGTCTTAAAATTTGGTAAGCGAATTCCTTTCATGGTGTAGAGATCCGCTACAAAAGAGTTTTGGGGGAAATTGTTCCCCAAGGGTCACTGAGGGGGGATTAAGGGGCGTATAATAGATAAATATTCCCACTTTTCAACTAATAGAACCACCTGTTTGAAAATTAGAAGGTATGTTCCGTTCATGGAATAGAGTTCCTTTTACAAAGATTTATGCGAAAACGGACCCCCAAAGGAGTGGGATTGAGATGGATTAAGGCGTGTTATAGAAAAATTCCTGTTTTTGAATTTAGCTCATTTACTTGAAATTTATTGAGAACTTTTCTTTAGCTGAATAGAGTTCCACTAAGATTGGATTTTACGGAAATCAACTCCAGGGGGAAGCGGGGAGAGTTAGTGGGGCGTATTAATAGACAAAATTCCCGTTTTTGAACTGCTAAGACTATAATAATAAAATTTGATTTGCATGCTTCTTTTGTTGAATCGGAATCCGCTAAGAATGCTGTCAACGAGGTATTGATGATAAAAATTCCGTTTTTGCTCTGGTAGATTTAGACTTGAAATTTAGCACGCATGTATATTTTATGGAGTAGAGATCCACTGAAAGTTGCTTTGGTGGAAATCCACTTGATTATTAGGTTAAGTGAGCGAAAAAAATCTTTCTACTTCTATTTTAGATATAAATAGAAATATTAGATATTATAATTTATGTTATTTTTATATCAAGGGGCGAGAGTGTAACAGCTATAAATATTTTTTTAAATACAATCGAATTCTTAATGCTAGATATCAATAATTAATATATATGTAAACAGTATACTTATATACAACATCGTGAAATACCCAGTGAAGCGGGTGGGTAACGGCTAGTTTAATATATTTGTTTCATCTTACAATGAAATACAGTACTCTTAGTACTTACTTTCTCTCTTAATTTATTTTCTTTATAATGAATTATAAAAAATATTATTTTATTTACAATTCCAAAAATAGAAATGAAATTATGCGATATAATTATAATGAATGTATTTTTACTTTTCAATTTCGATGCTATTGTGTGATACTTTACAAAACCTTACAACGTTGTATATAATTTGTAATCAACTTTAGAACAACAAATGTGAAATAAGCATTCTTTGTTTTAGTTATTTGTATGCTTTTTACATTTGTTTGGCTAGGAAATTAATTAAAAATTTGAAATTATTTTTCTTTCTAAAACATTTTTCATATTATTTTACGATTCTAATTATTATGAAAACAGGAAATTTAGAATTCCTATTCTTAAAATTTTTTTAATATTGTGTTTTTTATTCGGCAAAGTTTTATGTTGTGGAACCCATATCGAACTTAACAT